AGTTTGATTACATGGTTTACATGTACGGACGGACGGACATAGCTAAATCGACTCAGAAAATGATTCTAAGCCGATTATTGTGCGTTACAAAAGTTAGCACAAACCCAATATACACTCCCCACTAAAAAAATGTTATAAAAATTGTTCTTATTTCATGGTTAATTTACATTTTTTCAAAACTTTTCACTTTCTACTTCAGAAACTAATAACTAATTGCCAACTTAATTAACTAATTGTGTATTTTTCATCCTACCCGATAGCCAAACACTAGTGATAATAATAACATACAAAAAAAAGAAAAAGGACAAGGAAGTAAGTAAATATGTTCTTTCAAAAATTAAATCACTGGCATTAAAATAAATTTGTACTAAGTTTGTTTTTTTTTGTACATACTTATAACTTTCCCTCAATATTGTTTCCACTTTATGAAATTACATTTACGAGTACAAACATTATAATGGTAGAACACTTCATATTTATTTTTTTATTATTTACAATTCTACGGTCAGTTTAGTTGAGTCATTGTGAAAAATCCCGGTCATGTGCAACCGTCCGGTTAGGAAACACGCGCCAACACTTTTCATTTTTGTGCAATTTTATGTTCTATTTTTTCTTTAAAAACTTAAACACATACATATATATGTACGAGGGCAATCTTAAATGCTACAAAATTTCAGTATAGCATTGGTAACACTTGGTATTGCCTCAAAAGTCATAATCTAAAGAATTTATCTGTCCTGTCATGATACAACCATAGGATGGTAGAATCAGTAGGGAGAGTTGTCAATTCTCTTTTTTGTGACAATTCAAGGCATGTAAAATTGAGAACGTACTTTTCTACTGATTCTACCTTATTATTGTTTTATTATGTGTCCTGTGAAAATCAAAAACTAAATATTCATAGAAACCAAACTGTCACACAATCGGGATTTCAACCATTTTCGTCCTTGGATCAAGAGAAAATTATTTTATCAAATTATCTTGGAAATTGCAACCTTTAGCTTGCGCACAAGGTTTAAGACGGGCAGACAGACTGACGGACGGAATACTCATAGAAACTGACCTATCACACAATCGGAACTGATTTTAACCATTTTCATGGTTCAAGAGGAAAGTATTTTATCAAATTATATTGAAAATTGCGACCTTTCGCACATGGTCTAAGATGGACAGACAGACAAATAGACAGAATGACGGACGGACGGACATAGCTTAATCGACTTCTGAGCCGATTGGTATACTTTAAGGTAGGTGTAAAACCAATATTTAAGGGTGTTAGAAACATCAGCATAAATCCATAATACACCTATGGTAGTGTATGTTATAAATTGAAAATGAAATCTTATTTCTTATTTCTTATTTCAACGGCTATACCTGCTGACAAACACAGAAAGGATCAACAGCAGCACGAACTGTTATCCATGAGCTGTGCAATATTCTAGCGGGAATACAAAAATATCAAGCTAAAAGCTCTATTCATCAAAAATATTTGAAATATTTAAAAAAACGAATCTATATTAAATGCATTTATTTATTAGACTCATCTCGTATATAAGCACATCATACACTGTTACAAAAATACATATAACTTTTCTACTTTGAAGAAGTAACATTTAACAAATAGGGTTTAAAAGTTTTCCCAACTAACAAGGAGCAAAAAAAACCAATGAAGTATTTGCTGAAGAGGAAGCTGAAACGACGACAACACCAGCAAAAACTGCAACACAAACAACCAAAGAAGTTACTTGGAAAAAAGAAAACGGCTACAAAGAAACATTATTTAGTGGCACTTTAACATCACCATGATTGCCAGAGCACTGGTTTGGCCTTTTTACTTTTAAATGGTTAAAAGGAAAAAGTATAATTTACGCCTAAACGCCCAAAGGTTCTTTTTAGTATTTTTTCTAATTTTTTTGCTATTGGTCGGTCATACTTTTGGCCACAATTTGTGTGAGGATGAGTTTTGAAATAATCGTACATAAGTATGTGTGAATAGTCGGTCATTCAATAGCAAAGCATAAGTGAGTGCAAGTGTTTTTAAATATCTGTGTGTGAGTTTATATGTTTATGTATATACATATATGTATGTGTAGCTGTGTGGTTGTAATGTCTGTTTGCCACTATGGTCAATGGTTTTGTTGTTGTGGTAGTTCATGTAGTGGTCAGCATTCAATTGTTAAATGTTTATGTTGTGTGCAATTGCACACATTTATATTATGTATTTGTATGGATGTGTGTATGTATATGTGTTATGTATAAAAGTATGATTTTGAATATCTGTGTTTGTATGTTAGTGTGTTTTCTTCAATAGCATTAGTTCAACAGCTGTTGCTTTTACTATGTGAAGTCAGTGCATATGAATATATAGGTGAGACTCCTTTACTAACTCACACTCATTGTTCTTTAAAAGAAATTCATACGCCCTAAACCGGAATTCCTTACACAAGCTTCTGGCAAAGCAATCTGTTTTTATACTCAAATATACATATACCTAAAATAATATACACATGCATTTACATATTTTTGGAATCTATTAGTTTGAGGATAAAGTATTTAATCGTTTTTTCACTGTGTATACATTTAAGTCATCGAAATATAACCATATAAGGACACTAAGCCCTGCACTTTTTTACGGGCCCCCAAATACCTTGCAAACCGTTCGAAATTTAGCTTTACACTCTGAATCTCTTGTCATAAAGAACAAAAATTGAAAACATATAAAATAAAAAAAAAATCATCTTCATTTCTTAATTTCAAGTGGAAAGTTTTACATTTTGAAATTGCACTGCTTTTATTAGCGACACCTGTACGTATACGTGTTAATGATTTATATGATATTACAAATATTAAGTATACGTCTGTTGTGATATTGTATTAAGCTAGCTTTTATATGGTGTGTTTGGTGTGCTGAACTTACAGCTTTGCCTGTGAGTTGTTTATTAAGATCTTAGGTACATTTTTGTAGTTGATTGTTTTCTTGAATTTTGAACGGTTTGCTACCTATAGAACTTAACAGGGGAAAAAAGGTAAAAAAATCGTTTTTTTAAGTTTTCTTTTTTTTTTCTTTTTTGCTATTTTGATCATGAAGATAAAGTTTTTTGACACAATTTTTGTTCTAAATTTATCGTTACTCTTTATTAAATTTTAAAAATTGCTGGTATAAAATATATTTTTTCCTTTCGCCAATATAAAAGTGCAACATGCCTTTTAACATGTTTTCTATAAACTGTTCTGCATAGTATTTTCACACATACTAACAGATGGTAATAATTGTACGCACACATACATATGCAGATCACATGAACAATGTATGTGTGTAAATGTAATCTTATATGTTAGGCATTGTTATAGTGTGTGTGTATGCAAGTATGCGTTTGAAATGTTTAAGTAACACATGTTTGTGGAAATTCTATAATATTTTCTTTTTTTTTGTATCTTTCTTTTGATTTCAAAATATTTTTAAAATTTTACTATTAAATCTGTGTTTTTTGGTTGAAATTGTTAAACTTTAATGCTTATACTTAAGAAACTTTATTAATAAACATTTAGTACTGAATGCAAGTTGTACTTTAGAAACTCTTTGCTTTCTTAACACTTTAGCCAGTTACTTTGAAGATTAAACAAGAATTTCATTTTTATTCAATTGAAAATGTTTTCGTATAAGAGGCGAATTTTTCCCCCTTTTATATGATTTCAAGTTGTTTTTGATTTTCTGTTTACCTGCTGTGAAATTATGATTATTATTTATTTGAAATATGAAAATCTGTTTTTCTTTGTCGTTACGTGAGTGGAATTTCTTTATGGATTTTTACTCGCACATATACATACACCCATATTTTTACACAAAATGTAGAATATATTAAACATGAAATAAGTAAGTTAATTACTTGTGGAAACTATACTATACTTTAGATGCTCCCTTGGCTGAGATCATAATAAGACAAATATAATAGTCAAACACTACAGTCTATGCTAATGCTTAAATAAATATTTAAGGAAAAAGTGTATATTTCCATACACTGTGAAAATTTGCATTTAAAGTTGGAGAAAAAAAATATGGTTAAGGATAAACATACTCCTAATCAAGAAATTTTTTTGATGGTACCAGAAATTAAATATACTTAATTTAAGAACAAAAAATAAAAAAAATAACTTTATATTTCTTTCAGTGTATACACGTGTTTATTTGTTATTATGTACGAATATTATATTTGTAGAATAAATACAGCAAATTCAAACTCTGTGTTTACATACATATTTGATAGTTTAACTGTTGCTGTAGGGGTTAAAAGTTCATCTGCCTGTAACAAGGAGTCTATGGTCAACAACTATTGCAGAAAATAAAAGATTTTGAGGAAAATATCATAGACATTTATACGCTTAGTTAGTTTATTTGTTGTTTATGTTTTTCTTATTATGTATTTTGACCAAAATATGAAAACAAAAGCTGTAGCCAAATAAAAGCATAGAACTAAACAAAAAACAAATACTACGGTGATTATAAAAAGATATTTATTTTTATGTACAATGTGCTATGTATTTTTATATTTGATTTTCCCAATATTGCAAAGCTTAAGTTTGATCTTTACAGTTTATGGGTTAACGATTTCGATTAATAAAACGATTCGATTTTAATAAAACTTCAGATGTAAGTTTCCTATTATCTGGATTTTTATATTCTGAAAAGGTTTTATATAAAATGCATAAAAGTAAGGAATTAAGACTGATTTTCAAAAATATTACCAAAAAATAGTTTTCTGCGAAATCCTTAAAATTTAAAACCCAGCTTCCGCTAATCTGTGGTAGATATCGATTTAATTTCTTTACCATTTTATTCTCTTCTTTATTGTCCATAAGTCACATAAAGATTTTCTCAAAATTTTAAAATTTGCTTAACAAAATTGTTAAAAGCTTGAAATTGGAGTTTTGAAACTGGCATCTGAAGGGGTTTTAAATGAAGTTTATTTTTTAGAAATTACTTGTAGTAAACTACATATGCATTTAAAAAAAATTCATAATTATTTTATTTTTATTAAAAAATATACGAATTAATGAAAATGTTAAGATTAACAAAACAATAAAGTCTTTTGTTTGAAATATTTCTTGACACTCTGTGTTAAGTTTTTCCTATGATTTGCGAATTTAATTAATAATTTCTATAGTTAAAGTTAAATAAATACTTTTGTGTATACATACAATGTACACATATTTTCGGGCAAGAAAACGTGTCTGGCATATAGTATTTCCTAGTATACTTATAAACGAAAGTGATTAAGTTAAACATAACTTCGTCTGAGATACATCTAATGATTTTAGATAAATACTTAAATATGAGCAACTAAATAAATTGTTCACTTGAACTAGACATTTGTTCGGCAATTTCACGCAGTGTTTCATAATTAACCGTAGACTGACGATTATTACTTATAAAGGAATTGAAATTTGACGGCAAAGAAGTGTTTCCATCATTGTTCACAATACGCCAATTCTCTCCAACAGACGGACCAGGTTCTGGTATTTCTGAGCTCATTGATTTTTGTTGCGCTATTATGTATTCAGATTGATAAAATTGTTTACGTTTCTTATAGAATTCAGTTCGTCTACGTTCTTGATCTTCGAAATCTAAACTAGCTAATGGTGTTTGCAGTTCATCCATATTAAAGGTGCGTTCGTCGTCATCATCAGTATTATCATTGAGCATCATACGATTAGCACGATCTAGTGATTCTTGTAAACGTTTACGTAAATCTTCGGCTGCTATGGGATCACCGTGCCTAGGAAATGGTGTTTTAGCTTCAGGAATAGCAATAAATCCATAATCCTTTTGAACTGGATGATGAGTTTGTTGGATGTTTTCTTCATTAAATCTTAATTTTTTCTCTAATTTAGAATTTTGTGCTAAATTCTGGACCGAAATACTTGAACGTTGAGATTTTCGTAACATTATTTTTTAGATTTTTTACAAATTATTAAAAACACAACTGAATAAATAATGAAAGAGTAATATTTAAATAAAATGTCAAAATATTATTAAAAAAAAAATAAAATAAGTTGGAGTGCTATATTCGGCTATGCGGAATCTTAAATATCCTTCACCCATAAAAAAAAACTACGCACAATGATTAACATATATACAAAACATATTCGTGTAGAATGGTATCCCCATATCATCATTAATTCATGAGTTTTTTACGATTAAGAAATGAAGTGGACTTAATATGAATGCTATGAACGATTATCGGCCATTTCGGGAAAATTACGTCCACTTAAATTTTGTTCAGATATGATTATTTATTAATGAATGATGTTCGTTTACCTGATTTTAGGATGGGTATCTTATATGGAAACTATGGTCATTTGTGGACTGATCCAGATTTTAGTTGATAATACAATTTATATTGATATTAGATTTATGTGGGCAATACCGATATTCTAGAGAGAGTTATTAACGACAAAAAACAGTTCCGGAAGTATGTAAATTTGTAAGAGGTAAGGTTTACATCATATGGGTACCAGACCACTCGGGAGTAGTCGGCAACGAAAGGGTGAATGTAATTGCTTTAAAGGGAAGTGAACTCAAGGTAGTTAACCTAACGAACGCAAAACCATTCGACGCAACATAAGCTGAATTAAAAATATGTTTGAGAGAATCCCATAAGGCCCCTTGGAATAATGAAACGATGGGTAGAACCACTAAGATCCTAGGAGTAACCCTGATGAGAGCAAGGCGAGAAATCTCCTAAAAATGAGCAAGTCTGAGGTTAGTGGACACACGGATGTGCTCGAACATCTATACAAAATTGGACGTGCGAATTAAGACGAATGTAGAGCATGTGAAGAAGACAGTGAAATTCTGGAGGGATTCTTCGAAGATAGATCTAATTATCTTGAAAGTGATGTTATTCCGAAAATAACATTCCTGCACACAGAGAAAAAATATGGTTGTGGTAACCATAATCTAAGAGCAACATATTATGGTTAGAATTATGGTTAAAGTTAAAACATATTATGATCATTATTGGTATCAAAAATATCATATTATGATCATTACTAATATAATAAGATATCATATTATGATCAAATATAGTCCGAATATTTCATCATAACATTGTTTTATTAATCATAATGTGATGTTATAGCATTATAGTAACCATAGTATTAAGTAACCATAATTTGGTTTCATATAATAATATAATGGTTTCAAGTAATCATATTATTGTTTCAAGTAACCATATTATGGTTTCATTATATGGGTAAACATGCTTATATCTTAAACATTATATGATTAAACTTGTAAAAACCTACCATTTAATGGTTGTTTGAAAGTTTAAATGGTTCTAAAAAATTTATTATGTTTACATAGTTATCATTATTAATTTGTTGTAAAAATAATTATTTTTTTAGAGAATCATTCTCAAATTTATAATTGTCATAAATATATAAATGTTTACAGTAACTAAAATATTGATGAAATTCAATAAAAATAACAATTGTTTAGTTATGACAACAAAATATTGTTACAAAAAACATAGAATAGTTGTCCTAACCATGCCGAAACATGTTTTTTCTCTGCGTGTGATTAACACTGATTGGAAAATTCTTAGGAATTACGTCCAGGAAACTGAGTTTCTAAACATTGAAAAATAATGCATTCAGTGAAAAAAGCGCACAGCAGACCCAATAGCGGCCTAAGTGTATTTCTTCGGATTTGATGTAGTACACATACTCCTATCAACCTAACCTAACATATGTAAATTTGTATAAAAGCTATATGTCAATCATGTTATCCCTGATCGAAAGAAAAGTTTCTGAAAAAAATAAGAATCGAGAATGATAAAAAATAGACGAAAAGTCGACTTTTGGACTTTTTTCATTTAGTTAAAAGTCTACTTTTCGACTTCTCGATGAAAAGTCGATTTTTCGACTTTTTTCATTTAATTAAAAGTCGACTTTTCGACTTTAAGTATTTTATAAATAGTCGAATTTTTCCGGCTTTTCGACTTTTCTCAACTTTTCAAATTTTTCGACTTTCCGACTTTTTTTGACTTTTCGACTTTTTTCGACTTTTTCCGACTATTTTCGACTTTTCGACTTTTTCCGACTTTTCGATTTTTTCGACTTTTTGACTATTTTCGACTTTTTTTCGACTATTTTTTGACTTTTATCGAGTTTTTTCAACTATTGTAGAGTTTTTGACTTTTTGCCACTTTTTTTAAGATTTTCGACTATTTTTGACTTTTTTCTACAATTTTCGAGTTTTCGACTTTTTTCGACTTTTCCGACTTTTCTACTTTTTTCGACTTTTCGACTTTCTTCGACTTTTTTCGACTTTATTCGACTTTTTTCAACTTATCGACTTTTCGACTTTCAGACTTTTCGACTTTTTTCGACTTTTGTTAACAAAGTCGACTTTTCGACTTTTTTCACAGACCATAGTCGAGTTATCGACTTTTTTGGAACAAAATAGTCGACGTCGACAAAAAGTCGATTGTTCGATTATTTGAAAGTCGATTTATAGAACCCTAATAAAAAACCTTATGTTTTCATGGCGATCTTCTCGAAAGCATATACAATTCTTGAGGATTCTGATCTTGCAGATATCTGGGGTCTTTTGAAATTTATTTTCAACATACACACGGGCAGACAGATGGACTAACATGGCTTAATCATTTCCGCTATTTAAGTATCCAAAAATTATATTCTAGAAACGGAATGACAAACTTTTATATACCCTACTCACAAAGATGAAGCCAGCCGGACGATCGGATGGACGGATGGAATCACACTTTAAGTCGATTAAGGGGCATAAAAACAATATTTTTACGCATAATACTCTCCAAACAAAATTGATGTAGGGTATAAAAAATACATAATTTTACGAATTAACTTGCATCTTGGAATGAATAAATTACTATAAAAGTTTCGTAAAGTTATGAAACTACAATAGCAGTTTCTCATATATGTAAGTATGTATGGAGTAAAAATAACTTAAACAAATAAGTAAAAATACAAGTATTTCTGTAGCTATAAGTTACTTCTATAAAAACCAATTAATTTAACATTTTTACTGTGTAAGTATTTGCAAACATTACAATCAATTTATGTAAATAAACCCTCATCTAGTATGCTCTGCCATGGTGATCTGTTTAATCTAGTGCAACAAATCCGCTTGCCACAAATTTATATGTTAGCCACATACTACAAATTGGCGGCTTTATCAGTATTTTTTTTTTTTTTTTATATGTATGTATGTAGTTTTTTGTTTGCGACTGTGGTCAAGTAAAAACATATTGAATTGCAACTCATTGCAATTGTTAACATTTCAATTTACAACTTGTATTGAAAATTTACAATAAATCAAATTGAACTGGCAAGAGGAATAAAAACAAATACAAAAAAAAAAGACTGCAACAACAATGTCAACTACAAATAAAAGCAAATAAAACATAAACTCACACAGACTTTTGCAAATATTCATATACACACACAGATATTCAATACAAATACAAATGTACACAATCATTGTTCGTAAACAAATAAATATTTAAAAAAAATAAAAATAGGATATGTAATAAACGGGTACAAGCAAATTTAACGAGAACGCAAATAAATACAATACAATTTATTTAACAAAAAATATATTTTTTTTACATTAAAAAAAACTAAAAACTCAAAAACAAAATAAATAATTGAAAAATCCAACAACTGTTTTCAAGCCAGTAAAAAAAAAAACTTAAAACAATTGCGTTAAAAAAATAGTCAAATGTTAATTAAGTGCCAAAAATAAAATGAAGGCAGGCAACCAATTGGAAAAATGCTGGTAACAAAAAAAATTCATTTTGATTTTAAGCCAATATTTTTTTAAAATCCCATTGAAATCATCCAAACAAACGATTTCTAGCCAAAAATACATACAAAAGAAAGACATTTTCTAAGGTCATATACATATAGTGAATTTGTGGAAAATTTGTTTGAAATGAAATAGCAGTGAATTGTAAATTGAGTGATTGAAAAATCATTTCAATGAAATCTACACCTGCACAGTTAAATACATAGCTACATAAAGATTTCTTTACGATTTTGCGGAATTAAATTGATGATTGCCAAGACCATTGCCAAAAAAATTTATATTGAAAAGATTCCATTTGCTTTTTATTCTCACTTTTACTGTAAGCCAAGTTTAAATAAAAATTCTCAAAAATATATTTAAACAAATTGAACGTAATTAAATCTATTGATAATAATAAATACTTACACTAAGTGGAATGTAATCTTAAGGTTGTGATAGGTCTAAAGAAAGACTTGCTGTTCGTTCTTTTGCATGGAAAATATTGGTTGAAAATCCAATTATGTATAAGAAACTATGTTTTGTAGATCAGAATTAGAATTTAGAAAAAGTTATTAGAATCTAATTTCAATAAATGTCTGGCCATGTTAGTTTTCTCAAATACCCTTTTTTATAGCATATTATTTTATGGTACATTAGCACTTTCATTTCTGATTATCCCTGAGTGGCCTGGCACCCTTATGAAGCAGCTCTAATCACTGTTCATTCTGGAACCATATAAAGACCACAAGATCGCTTAAATTACAGTGGATTAATTTTTAATGTTATAACAAGGGAAACCAAAAATATGCTCTAAAAAAGTGCATAAAATATGCAAAAAAAAACTAAAAATATGCTCTTTAAATTTAAAAAAAAAAAAAGTTTTAATTAATTTTTAACATTCAAAAGCTCATAAAGACTGAAAATGTAATGAAATAATATTCATCGTACAAGATTTCTGTTTGATAATTGATTCAACTCATAGTTTGAAGAACTACTTTAATAGAATTCAAATTTCAAATGATAAAATTTGACACATCTTTATACCCTACACCACTATATTGGGGAGGATATTATGTGTTTGTGCTGATGTTTGTAACACCCAAAAATATTTGTCCTACACCCACATTAAAGTATACCAATCGGCTTAGAATCACTTTCTAAGACGAT